CACTTGGATATATATCCTACACTTGACATCGATTTTTGTAACTTGCTAGATAAGGGTCTAGTCCGTTTTAGCCTTAAGAGCTAAGATTTAAAAGGGTCATTACATATATAGCTCAGAACTATGATTATGTCCCGTTAGTTTCAACCGTGTCATTGTACCCTACCTTCTACAAATTTGTTGTGTCTCGCACCCTTACCCGTACTTGTGCAACTTAGATGAAAACAGTTCGCAAGGGATTGGATAGGTTGATTTGAAGTATAGGCCTCATTCAAGTAAGGAGAAACCCTCCAAGTTCCTGTAAACTAGAAAAGAGTCTATACTGAGAGGTAAGATGTCAGGATCGTTAAAATAATAACATTAAGTTATGTTACCATAGTTAAGCCAATGAACCGATTGGAATAGCACTTCCAAAGTGTAAATATAGAAGTTTTCTTAGTGCAATAAAAATTTCAACTGTTATTCTAGATTCTACGTATGTGATACTTACAATAATGCTATTATACAGATATAACATAAGTGGTTCTTAGAAATATGCACGCAAGGCTTGTAGGTTGAACAGTTTAGTTGATCCTATATGTTTGCAAACAAATGGACCAACTTGTCTTGTTACTTATTGAATCAGTGTTTGAGAAATCACTTGTGAATTCATTTTTGGATGCTCTTCATGATTTGCTCAGTTCTTGCCTTAATTTGTCGCACTAACATTATATATTTACCCTGTTTATTTGTGCAGACCTCTATAGCATTTGCCAGCCTGGTGATTGCAGCTATTCCTACTCTGTATGTAAGTTATTTCATAACTGTAACAATTTTTTGAGTTTGATAACTTGTAGAGGACTATGGCTATGAGTTAGGTTTAAGGAGAAAACTAGTAACTGCCGGTACTAAAATTTTGAAGGAGTTTTTACAATGTGAATCTGTATCATTATTGTTATTACTCCAGAGAAATGTTAGACAGGCATGATCATTAGGGAATTTGTGGTTACTTCTTCCCTTCACCCATGCAAACATCCTTACCCCATTCTCCGACCATTAGCATCACCAAATTAGCAACAAACGCTCCCTGTACGATCCAGGCATCTTTTTTTTGACATTGGAAGCGTCTATCTGATTATGAGCACCTCTCTCTTTAAGTTCACTGTTCAAAGTTCGGGTGTCAACGACATTATGTTGGACATAAAAATTCCATATCATGATGCAGATATCGGGGATATTATGTAAATAGAAGGGTGTCATGTTAGATAATGTATATTTATGTCATAGATGACCCCGTGTGATGCATCACAGGCAATAAAGCTGCGAATAAAGGTGATATCTTTTATTATGTTCAAATCATGATATTGTTAATGAAGTTACTAATATTTTGTAAGTATATAATGGTAAGAGTAACCAAGTTTGCATATAACTCCAAATTATGCCTTTCCAATATTTTCTGAGCCAAATTTAGCATAGCATCCCTGGTGAAAATGAGGAGAGATATTAAATGGTAATTTAGGGAGCAAGAAAGTTACTCTCAGGGAAAAGAAGGGGCTTATTGGCGATAGTGGCCAATGATGAAGGCACGGTTAAGGTGGTGTTGCAATGCAATCCATCTCGAGGCAAACAGTTGGGAATGGAATAGCTGCAGTACTTTTGCAAAAGAATTTAGGCTCAGTTGAGCACTAATCCTTCTTTTTTGCTTCTTTATATATATGTGTGTTTTGGTTTGGTTTTAAACCAAGTGAAGTAATAAATCCAAATTCAATCTTTAAAACAAATAAAAGCCCAAATATCGTTGTTGCAACATTTTGACGGAAAGTTACCAGATATGATAAATGATATTGAAACCATATCATTTTGTGGCAAGGCTTATAACCGATGATATACTGCCCTGCGCCAATATTTAAATGTATCAGTTTGATATTGTTTTCAAAAATATTACTGTGATTCATTATGCACTAATATACTAATGCAATGATAGCTTAGGCTACCATATATGATTTTATTCTCAACCATGTTTTCTTCACTCCTGTGCATTGTAATTAAAATTTTAATCGCGCGTGCTGTCATGCTTCAGGTCTGAATAAGAATTTTAACCAGTTTCATCTTGATCATGGTCCGTTCATTTTACTCTTCAGTGGTAGTCTAAATAATCCACTCCTCCATGATGTATGCATGCTCATGTGCATGTTTGAGGCGTGCCGTTTCTTGACATTCCATCTTCTTATCATCAATGCTTCATTATTTCTTTCTACCATAGGCGATGAAGAGGGCTGCAACATCTCTTGCAAAGCTTGCAGATACTGCACGTGAGGAGCTTCCTAGTACCATGGCAGCAATCAGACTTTCAGGCATGGAAATCAGTGATCTTACTCTGGAATTGAGTGACTTGAGGTAAGAAAACATTGCATGCCAAGTAGAAGACACTTTGCATGCCACATATGCAGCTGAGTATACTAATGCTTTGCAATTTCTTTTTCTCTTTCATTTACATCTTGGCTGACCAGTTTTAGGACTTTTCATCTTAACGTAATTCTTCAAATTTCAATTTACAAATTTGAAGCGCACACATTTCCAGTAAATATTTTCAGTTTTCAAAATTTTAATGCTCTAGGGCTTTCTTATTTCTGGCATACTGGACTTTCTTGGTTCTATAACAATTATCTGAGTCATGTTTAATAGTGAATTAGTATTTCATATTACGAGTGATCACAGTGCTTGTGAACTTATTGTGCTAAAGTTACATTGGAACACTTTTTAGAAGATTTGTGTATAATTAATCTGAGAAAATTGCTGTTCAATCTTCTGTCACTATGAACCAATTGCCTGTATAAGTATACATACAAAGTCGAGTATCGAGATAGAAGTCATTATTGTGCAGTAGATGTATTTAATGTCGGTTTGATAGATAAACTGCTGTAACGAGAATAGATAGCCATCAACTGCATGTGAATAAAGATTGTCATCATAACCTTTAAATTGAGATTAACATTTAAGATTAATGGGTGGTGTTACGATAACCTGATATCTGAATCCTTTATTCATTACTTTTCTTGAATCAGACTCGTGCTTCACAGATGTTGACTTATTTCTTCAGAAAATATTAGTGACAATAATAATTGTAAATAACTGTTCAGTTGTATTAAACATCTAAGGTGGCAATATTGGCTAATTGAGAACGCCAATACCGAACTGCATCAAAACTAATTATATCATATACTAGTAGAGACTCTTGCTTGCATTTAATATTTTTATGTATGCTGTTATCATTCAATTGACTTCTTACCCAAGTGTTTGGTTTGGAACGCAGCCAAGAAATAGCTGATGGTGTCAACAAGTCAGCACAGGCTGTCCAAGCAGCGGAAGCTGGAATCAGGCAGATTGGTGCTTTGGCTCGAAGCAAAACCATCTGTATGATTACTTACTCACCAATACATAAATAAACATAGTACAGTTTTCTTTCCGGTCTGAATTAACTATGATCGATCAAATCTGATCGAATCTGTTCACGTACAGCAATGATACAGGAAAGAGCAAACTTGCCCAACATCTCTCTTCAGCCTGTGGTTGCTGGAGCTGCCAAGAAAACTTCAAACGCTGTTGGTCATGCAAAGAAGACTTTCATGAATCTAATTTCCCGAGGTGATGATTATGGCTCTGATAATGCAGAGGAGGGTTTTGACAACACTGAATGCTGAAGAATTTAATGTATTTTAAACAAAGGGTTAGTTAGAGATACACCTCTCTACTACTGAGGTTATAGTTACTTCAACCTTCTAAACTTAGTTTATTGGTACTTATACCTCCTGAACTCTAGACAATATTATTTCCCTAGTTTAAGTTGAGATGTCACTTAGGAATCATGTGACAGATGAATTACCTTTTGTCCGTAGTTTAACTGAAAAAAAAAAATTAAAGACTGGATTGACCTTTAAATTAGGGCGAAAAAGTAATGCATCCTGAGGTTAAGGGATGCCAATGCTAATAAAAAAGTTTAAGAGGTATTAACTATCACGTCCCAAGTACAAGGGGTGATTTTGTAACGAGTCAATTTATGGATTTTGAGACTGTAGCTTTGTAAGGCATTTTTTTATTTGAAGTGCATGCATTGCTTGTATCATGGGATATTGCTCTGTATAATGATGATGATGATGTTGTTGTTGTTTATGGGGAGCACAATGATTGTAGACATTTGCAAAATATAGGTAGTAGACCGTAACACTCATAACCTTTTTGAGAGGTAAAAATTTTATCTTCTTTATTTCTTTCATATAGGCTACAGTGTGGATTGAGGATGCAACAGGATACGGGTTTTCGTGACTGTTTCCAAAGATACATGAATATCTTTTTGAATTTCTGGTAGAATACTTATGTGGTATACTTTTTATTTTCTTCCAATTTTTGGCGGGATACATATGCAGATAAGTAACATGCTTGGATCCATATCTAAACATATGTACTGATTGGATAGTGCAACTTTAGATTAGAGAATTTTAGACCAAAATGATCCGAAGACCTAAATTTAGTGTTCAAAATGATTTATTTTCAAAATTTTGTTTTTATTCAAAAAACTCTTGTATCAAATAATATATATATATATGTGTGTGAGATTAATGGATATCTTTGTCATAGGAGGGGATTTCCTCCTTGACGCCTATGTGGCACAATCTCCACCATCTTCATAAAGTAGGAGAGAGAGTGTGAGTTGGTGAGGATTTGTGCCTACTTTATGAGGATGGTGAGGATTGTGCCACATAGGCGACAAGGAGGAAAATCTTCTCCTATGACAATGATACCCATTAATCTCTCTCTCTCTCTCTCTCTCTCTCTCTCTATATATATATATATATATTATACCTATACTATATATATATATATCAAAAAGCGAATTATGAGTATGCCTTGTCGCAACACAAAATTTTGTGCTTTGGTACGTGAGAGTGGTATAGTTATCTTTCTACTCATCAAAAGGGATCATATTCACATGGTGGTTGAATGTAATCCCGCAATGAATGAGTGGATAGGAAGTGGAGACACCTGCACTAGCAAGCCACAAATTTGTGCTTGTATCAAGTATACCATTTACTCTCTCCTCCGTCCTCTATCTCTCTCTCTCTACTATATATATATATAATACTATCTATATAGTATATTATAGTATATAAACATTGATAAAATGAGCATGATGCCTATAGGCTACTCGAGAATGATGAGAATCGCCTATCGCTGTTTCTTTTAGTGTCGCGGGTTAATTTTTGCAATCATTATGATCTGTATGTAGAAAAATTATATTGTTTTGAAACTTTTAGTCATGTTTCAGCTATGTATAGAAGGGCGGTTGTTGAGTTGGCTGAGAAATCAACATATCAAATTAATTTGATTTATATTCTAGAAGACGTTAGATTATGTGAAAATTTTACCATATACATTTGACGATGTATTGAATGAAATGTACGGTGTCGATCATAAATTTGATGAGCCGATTAGTTTAGCTCACGATTATATTTGCACACAATTGTACATGTTTTAAGTTTGAATCTTTTATTGAATAGTAAAGTTATGTATTAATAAATAAAATTGTATAGTAAGATTTTTTTAAAAGAAATGTATAAATTAATTATTATTATTTTGTAGTTATTGTAATTGAAAGTTTTTCTTATAGTGATCGTATAGTGCTAACCTTTTTTTATATAAGTTCCCCAACTCATCAATTATTCTTAAATAAGTCTTGTCAAATCTATAAATTCTCTTAAATATGTCCTTCTAACTTGAAAGTTGTTGACTTAACCTCTAAATTAACTAAGCTGCATTGATCTTGCTAGTTTTTTCCTAATGTTCCTTAGATAGTTAAACTTAATACGAGCAACATATTGTGATAGTTATTTTTCATTATAATTATTTAATAGGGTAAGTTACACTAAACCGAACTTTTAAAAATAACTTTTTTGTTTTAAAGAAAACTCTCATTAACTTTCTAAATTTTGTAGATAACTCTTATACGTTAGAACCAGAAAATAGCATAAAAAGGCAATTTGAAAGTTCTTAGGGGTTTAGTGTAATTTATCTAAAAGATATTGAGGGCTTTCTACAGAAGTTATTTGGGGTTCAGTGTTTCGAAAGTTAATAGAGTCTATTTATTGCAAAATGCTAAAAGTTCATGGAGGCTTACTGTAATTTACTTTATTTAATATTATAATTCTTAGTTCAAGTAATACTATTAAAATAATTATACTACCTGTAAAATATTTATCTAATTTAATTTTTTTAATTATGCTCTTAAATAATTTAGTACTATAAATACTTTATATATTTTTATCATACTATTATTAACAATTAGTACTATTATTAATATTAAATAAGTTTTTTGTAACAAGGTTAGTTTTTAGTCATTACTATGTATAGAATATTTAGTATCATGTAATAATATTTGAGAAAATATTCTAAAAATAATATTAAATTATTTAGTTAATTTATTTAATAATATAATACTAAATAAATAGTATAATTCATAATTTTTGTGATATTATTAAAATAATTATATTATTTATGCGATTAAGTATTTATTCTAGTTATTTTATTGCTCATTGAATTATAGTATAATTCTTAATAATATTTAGTAATATATTATTTTATGTATATTATTATTTTAATTGCTTTATTATAATTCATAAATAATTATTATAATAACAATTTAATTAGTTACTATTAATAATTGTGTATACTTATTTTATAAATTATATTACTATATTATTATTATTAAATAATTAATAGCTATAATATTATTGGTAATTATAATTATCTGAGAAGGTGAGGAGGTGCATAATTAATAAGTTGTTATATTTATTTAATGAAAGACTAATTAGTAATAATGTCATAGTTAGAATTTATCAAAATTTAAGAGGGCAAAAAAGAAAATTAAAAGTCGTAACACTCCAACCCTCTTGTTGTAGTAGTATGCATGTATGTATGTCTCTCTCTCTCTCTCTCTCTCTCTCTCTCTCTCTCTCGGTACCAAGCATAAACTTTGTGCTTAGCAGTGAGTTTGCACAATCCCCTCTACTCATTCAAATGGGGGACCACATTCCGCGAAAGGAGTGGTTAGCTTCTCATATTTCGTTTCCACGACATTCCAAAGTTCGTATCCAATTGATTGAAGGTAAATCTTCATTCGGCACTTCCAATAGTTGTAGTTCAATCCATCGAACATCGGTGGACGATTTGTTGAGTGACCTTCTTTGAATTGTGAAGTATTTGTCGATGCCATCTTTCACCTCGCTCTGATACCAAATGTAGGATCTGAAATAGATACACTTGAACACTAGAGGGGGGTGAATAGTGTTCTTTTAAAATTTATGCAAAGTATATTATAAATTGCAAAGAAAAATGGCAATCTCAGAAATTCACAATCACAAACACAAGGATTTTATACTGGTTCCACCAATTCGGTGTACATCCAGTCCCCAAGCAAATCCCGCTTGAGAGTTTTCACTATGATTTTGAATAAACTTACAAAATCAAACGCAAACCTGACCAATTTGCAAGTCCCTGCAAATTGCAACACCAATTGATAAATACCTTGCCAATGTGAACACCAATCTCTAAACCAAGAGATTAACCCTCTCAAACCCGAGAGAAATCCTTGTTGAAGCAAGAACACAATTGATCCTATAAGCCTTGAATGTGTAGTGAAGTGCAGCAGTGGCTTAGGATTCTTTTAACCTCTGTAAATTGCCTAAACAATAAGTATTTGAATAATGTTTAGAGGCAATTTCAGAAACTTCTCTTTTTCACAAAATCTGAATATTTTTCACTTGAAAAATTACACAAAGATCAAAGCTTATGGGTATGTAAGTCTCTGCAATTTTTCTGAACAAATAACCTATTTATAGCCCTTGAAAAGACAATTTTTTAAACTTTAAAAACATTTAAAAACGGCTATAAACTGTCAGATATTCAAACTTTGAAAACTGGAAAAACTGTATCTGTAGTCGACTACTGTTGACATTAGTCGACTACACTGAGTTCAAACAGACTCTGTGTATTCAGAAAATTTTCTCAGTAGTCGACTGTAATGCTCATTAGTCGACTACACTATATTTTGACAGAAACTGATAAAATGAAATTTGAGTTCAGTAGTCGACTATAATGATGATTAGTCGACTACACTGTAAAATAACAGAAATGTATGTTTCTGTCAAACACCTGAATAGTCGACTATAATCTATTGTAGTCGACTATACTATAAAATGATAGAAACATGTATTTGAGTTTTATACACGAGTAGTCGACTACTATTCTAATTAGTCGACTACTAAGAAGAAAAATTCTGCTATAAAAAGTTTTTATAATCAAATTTTAACTATAATTCTAATGGTTAACATAGGGGATTTCTATAGTTAACCAACACACTAAGCATGTGTTAGTGTGTTCTAACACTATGTGTGTGCATGTGTGTAAAATACATTATCTCATTTGTTCTTCATTTTCTTCACTTCAAAATGCCTTGAAATCAACTTGCACTTGTACATATTCTGATATTAAAATCTGCATATAAAAGTTAGTGCACACACTGTATAAATTGTTATCATCAAAACACTATCATGGAGATATGATATTCAACATTCTCCCTCTTTTTGATAATAACAAATAATTTATGCCAAAGTATGTATTTTATAATCAGGTTAAAACATAATGAAATAACCATACTTACTCCCCCTGCATATAATACTTACTCCCCCTGTATATATGCAAATTTGAGTCTATAATAGTACATAACATAACTAAACTATAACAGTACATAACATAACTATTTCTCCCCCTTTGTTATCAACAAAAAGAGGAAGCTAAACATGACATTATTTCTTCAACATGAGCTAAAACTTCAAACAAATCATCAAGGTTATGAACATAGTCAATAACTTCACCCATCCAAATAGGTAGGCAAAGACTTGCCATAAAGACCAAAAGTTCCACAATGTTCGTCACCATGATCTATTTAAAATATGTAGCACATGTATTATCTAACCAAACATTATCATAGATAATAAAAACACACAATTAACATAAGTGACATAGTAGCAACATAAGAAACATATTACATAAGTCCTAACAACACACAACCACATAGTTTTTGAAACTTAAACAGAATAACATAATTGTTTTGAAACTTAACATAAAAACATCCTAAGGTGCTG